TGTGTTCTTCAGTGCCTGGTACACCCACTACTGGCCTACGGCTAAATCTCAGACAAAAAAAACCTGTACTTATGCTTGATTAATGGGTTTTTATGGGTTGTGATGGTGTTTTGGGCATGTATCTATTTAATCAAGACATAACAATAGTCAAACAATGGATTATGAAAGTCAATACTTAAAAAGGAAAAACTAAGAAAATGGTGTTGTGCCTTTAAAATCTGTATCTAACATAACTAATCTTCACAACTTTAGAAGTAACTTTACTAATTCATTTTTTTAAATTGCTAAATAAAAGTATAAAATAAACTACTGAAATGATGCAATATGAAAAGTAGGTTATCGTCAAGAATGGATATTTTAATGATAAACCTTTACCAGAGATGTGACACAGATTCATTTGTTCAGGTAATTCATTTTAGTTTCAGGCTCATCTCTCAAAAAGAAGGTTATCGACAAACGTCTCCAAAGTTCATGAGGACTAAAGAGGCGGACATCAAGAGTCAAATTCCTGATACAGATAAAAGACCAGTAGCAGCCCAAATCAAAGCAAATACAGACATTCCCTGGGTCGAACCTATCATACTCTTTGTTGTTGCTTCTCCTTCGTCCGCCGCTGATATGTTGGGGGGTCTCTTCCCGCCTGTCTAATCTCTGTTTACGTTGCTGTCTGTCCCCGTTTGCCCTAGTTCCAGCCCCCATCATGTCATGAAAGAGGGCTTCCTCTCCGACCCTTGAGTCCCTGGTTGACTTTTGACCTTCGTCTTCCATATCTGCGTTCGCACTCGTACTCTATCGTGCCTAAAAAACAAAGAAAATAGTCCAGGAAGCAGCTGCGCTCCGGCTTTAAAGAAGAAAAGAAAGGGACAATTGAGAACAGACAGAAGTGGGGTATGTGTGATTTGACGCTTGTCTGGTTTTTATGGCGAATTCTCACTTCAGATATATTGTGCTGGCATCTCTCTGTGTATGTGGCTGTTCTCTTTTTTTCCGCCCACTTTCTGTCCCGTTTCATCTTTATTTTTCTTATTCTCAGATCTGCCTCACAGCCGTTTTTAATTAAGCTCGGGCCCCAACGTGAAGGAGCACCCATGCTTATGCACTGCTAAGTGGTGAAACGAGTTGTGATGAATGAATGGAAATTAATAAGACGCTATAAATAATTTAAAAAAGGCAATAAAAAGATACCATCACGTGTTTCCATGCAGGCTTCCCGATTTCATCTAATGTGAAACTGCAGGCAAGGTTTTGATTAAATCAATGCAACCAATAATTTCTTATTCCTTTGGGGACCATTTTTAGATAAGCTATCTCAAATAAACTGGCTGTGACCTTTATATAACTGACAGTTTATGTGTTAGAACCGATCTGTATGTTGTTTTTATTAGAGTTCACGCTTTTAAGGGAGTTCTAGGAATTGTTCGACATTTTAAAGAAAAGGATAACTTGTGTTCCAAAAGACAAGATCATAAATCTTAGTTTGACACAGTCATGCTCCCTCATAGAGCAAAGAATTATTGGATCGTTTTACTTTTCTGCCATGTTTAATTCAGAAATGTTAGAGGGTGGAATTCGATTTATGAAAAAGGAGCTGAAATGGTGGTTTTAGTTTTTGTGCTGCATCTAACAGCCTGCTTGTTGCACAAAGATGAAAGCTCTCTGAAGATGGTTATTATAACTTGGAAATTAACAGACACTGAAGCAGCTGTTTCCATCAATGTTCCGATGCTTTCGGATTGCGTGACCAGACGTTCTCCATTTCTTTCTCCAAATGCTAACGTCAAATGCAAAAGTGCATCCTTTTGAAGTTGACTTCTGTCATCAAAGCCTGCATCATAAAATGTTCAGCAGCTGAAAACCCGCACAAAAACGCAGTTCTTCAATCCATCTCTCAGCTCTTTACTTTTTTACACTTTTCTGTTTGGTGTTTTTAAGCATGTATATAATTTTAAAATTTTAAATAACATTTCTGGCTTGACTTGTGGTTTTGTATTCCTTTAAGCTCAACCTCTTTCAATAACTCCTCTAAAAATTAATGCTGATCCAGGGAGTCTTCTTCCTTTCTCTTGAGATGTCATTAATCTCAGTCCAATCTGAGGCCACTAACCCCCCCACCCCTGAAATATGCACTCTCTCTTTTGCCCCCAGACAGTTTGGACTCCGCTGCGGTACATGTTCTGCAGCTGTCTCTTCTCTGCTGCAAACTGGAAAATATTTCAGCGAAGCTGTGACAGCCACATATTTTATTTCGGAGAATGATTGCAGAAGTTTTGAACTAAAACAGACAACACTGAATGTGAAAGAGGAAAAACAGAAAAGTTCATGCTGTATTCATAATTAAACACCAGGCCTGTAGCATTGTGGTCATGTTGACGTTGTGAACTACACTGTTTGCCTGCCACARCTCTGATTGACGGTTTCCTTGCTTTTCTTTAAAAGAAATCATTCTTAGGCTGGCATTTTCAAAAGCACTCCCTCAGTTGTAAGGGGAGTGCTAACAAACCTATTTATTTCGAACACAGACAAAAGCCTGGTCAGCATCTCAAAATAAGTAGGGGTGAACAATAAAAAATTGTATTTTCTTTATTACAGAATCAGACATTTCTTTGCCTAATTTATTTGTGAGCCGTCTGACACATTAGTGTTTTATTAGGTTGTGTTGAGACAATAATTAGGTAGTCTGAGAAGGGGTTTAGCTCCACCGATGTGTGTGTACAGCTATCGATTGTGCTCTAATCCCAGCAGACGACAGCGGGCGTAATGGATGATGCCGYGAGGCGCTATGTGAAGCATCCTAACTCCTGCCAGTTTGACTGACAGCGCAGGGAGTGGATCAGGGAACAAACAGTAAGGGTCAGCCACATACCATACATCCCAAAGCTCGTAAATAGCCACTCAGAGCTTAGTGACAAAAGCCACCAATTAATTTCAATTGGTCTCCAAAGGGTCCTAGGGTGTTTTTTTAAAGGGATCCCTGATTAGTCGTAACATTAGACTTTATTTGATAAATATATATTTTAACTCTAAAATAAAGACTGTAAAAATACTGTAGGCTGTTTAGTTTTGTAAATTTTTAAAAATATATTTTAACATGGACGGAGCCATTTTATTTACACACAAAGCATTCTGGGTAAATGATGACGTGGATAGGTCCTCAGGGCTAGCGAGCTATATCCACCCTGAAGGTTAATCTTGGACAATATCTGATGATCGACTCTTTTAAATGAAACCAGAGAGCGTTGACAGAGAGGAGAAGGTAGAAATGACTCAGCCTGGAACTGAAAATATGGATGGAGGACAACAGAGCTGCTTCATGGAAGAAGAACCTCAGCTTAGCCTGTTAGCCTTTGCGATAGCGCTGACGCTATATTGCCTTATTTGTAATAGCTCAGCGCTAGCACGACAAACAAGCTACACTGAGGTCCTCCATCCATATTTTCAGTTGCAGACTGAGTCATTTTTGTGTTCCCCTCTCTGTCATGTAGATGGAGGACCTCAGTGACGTGAGGAGAATGTGTAGCGCTGAGCTAATACATATATATGATGATAGCATCGGGGCTAATGGCTAACAGGCTAAGCTGAGGTTCTTCTTCCATGAAGCAGCTCTGTTGTCCTCCATCCATATTTTCAGTTCCAGGCTGAGTCATTTCTACCTTCTCCTCTCTGTCAACGCTCTCTGGTTTCATTTAAAAGAGTCGATCATCAGATATTGTCCAAGATTAACCTTCAAGGTGGATATAGCTCACTAGCAGCCTCGCACGATGATCTATCCGCGTCATCATTTACCCAGAATGCTTTGCGTGTAAATAAAATGGCTCCGTCCGTGTAATATATTTTTAAACTTTTAGTTGAAAAATGATAAAAACTGAACATCCTAACGTATTTTTTACAGTCTTTATTTTATAGTTAAAATTTATGTTTATCAAATAAAGTCTAATGTTACAACTAATCATGGATCCCTTTATGTGGGATAAAGGCCTGAAAACAAAAAAGAGAAAGCAGGATGATTAACCAAAATTAAGGGTTGGGTAAAAAAAAAAAAAAAAGGCCCTGTATCTTCAGTTGAGTGGTCTCCCAAATATGGATTTTAGTCAAATCAAATTAACCCGACAGAGCCGGAGCTATGCAGTGAAATATGTCTTTTCATAATGCAGAGTGCCGGTCATGTTGAAACCCTGTCAGCGTCTTGTTTGTCCGTTTGGCTCAGAAGCTGGAAACGGAGCCGCCACCCTGTAAGATGTGTCGATTCGGTCCGCTCGTGTTTCATAACGTTTGTCTGACATTCCCACTGCGGCAGACCACAGAGACAGCCCCACGGTGGCCTCCGCTCCAGCCTCCACCATCTTGCATTCCACAGCCGAGGAAACTATAGCGAAGCTGGGGGGGGATCACAAAGTTCCCTAAAATAAAATCTCTGTCTTGTTTTGTTTCACTGCTTCACTGCCATCAAACAGATCCCAACGTAGGGACTCCGTGAGATCGCGATGCTCAGATGGTCTCTGTGATTTATGGTCACGCAGTCAGGAGGTGATTACATCTGGCTCCAAAGATTCTCTCTGCAATCTCCACATCTCACAGGGTTGGCTTGTCTTCAGCAGGCGTTCATACCGCAGGGGGATTAGGGTACACCRAGTGTGTTTGGAATAAACAAATAACTTTACACAGTAAAAAATTAAAATGCCTGTTACTTCTATACAAGTTCTAAATCAAAGCTGTTTATTCCCTGTTGTTTCAGTTTGTTTCCAGAGTAATCTTTCAGAATCGTTACAGTACTTTCAAACGGTTAGGGCCAAATTTTGAACTCCTGTTCCAACGCTGCTGCCAATTTCTGCAGGAAATGAGAATGCCAAATTTAGGTTTTGCTGAGCTTCAAATTTTCCTACATTTCTAAAGAAAGAAACAGCATTCCAAGACAAGAAGGAAGTACCAGAGAACTTTCTCAAAAGTAAGTTTTCTTTGCTTGAGTCATTATCACTTGACTGGATTTTTTTGCTTATGTTCGTTTAAAATGTCCGCAGTTGACCCTGGTCCCCTTCAGAGCTGCAGAGAAYCACTCACTTCCTTTTTTCAAGTAGATTTTAGACTTGATGACACTTTTTAAAAGCCACTTCAGTAGAAAACAGAACTGAATGTTATTTTCTTAATTTCTTCATCATCAGTGACTTTTTTTTAATAATGAGTTTAATGTTGAGTCTATCTTTTTAATGAGTGTTAAAGTAGATACGGTGCTTCCAGAAAGTGACAATGAAAATTATACATCTGAGAAATAAACAGATTTTTCACATTTTAAGGAARTCGATGAATAGACAATTTTAAGTGAAAGGTTTTCTTTGTGCTGCCTTTTTTTATATTGTGCATGACATGTTTATATGTGGTGCCTCTCACCAAGAAGGTTGATGGATCAAATCCCAAATGCTTCTTGGTAAAGTTTGAAGATTCTCTCCATGWCCTGATGCATCTCAGTAATCCTGGTAGAAAAAACAAAAAACTTAAGTAGATCSTCTGGATGRGTTCTTCTTTAATGAACATTTCACCTCTCCTCCAAGTGACTTCTTTCACGGGCACCATCACCTGACTACCGTTAGATCCCTGATTATCACCTATTGTTCACAGGGTACTGAGTCATACTTGCAATAACAGCATTGTAAGAGAGGGACAATTGGACATGCAGGCCTCATTAAATCGTCCATCATTAAACGGGTGGAGGCCTCCGTGTAATGATGGACTCGGACTGAAGAAGTCTCTTGGAGGAGAGAWGAAACATTTCATTAAAGAAGAACATGTCCTATTTAAGTTTTTTTAATTCTCTCCATGCTTTTGTGGGTTTTCTCTACTCCAGTTTCTCCCACAGATCAAAAACATGACAGTTAGGCAAACAGGTCACTCTAAAT